GTTTACAAACCAACAAGAGGGAAGGACTCAAGATTGTCACCAAAATACATTGGACCATTACCCATTGTGAAGAGGATTGGAAGAGTTGCATACAGAGTTGAACTCCCTTCATGGTGTAAAATCCACAAGGTCCTTCATGTTAGTGTGTTGAAGCCATACTTTTCAGATAAGGAGGACGCATCTAGAAATGAGCCAAAGCGACCTGTATTTGAACTGAAGAAAGCTGGAAAGAAGGTTGCTGAAGCTATTCTTGACCATCGAATCACTCGGGCTTCTAGAAAAGATCATCAGGAGTATTTGGTCAAATGGATGGGATGCAGCAGCGAGGAGAATACTTGGGAAAGAGGAAAAGATCTCGGGGCCTTCAAATCATTAATTGAAGCGTATCATATATTGATGGCACCGAGGACGTTGCCAAAACAAATGGGGGAGAATGTCAAGGACCGCAGCTTTACTTAGCCCCTTGACACTATCGAAGCCGCAGTTTGCCCAACTTCGGCCGCACATTGTAAATATTACTTCAAGTTTGAGTTGTAATTTTCGTTTCATTGTAATAGTTATTTTAATTGTAAAATAGCTCTGATATTGGTAAAAGATTAGTATGATTCCTCGTCTTTTAAACGTCTACTCCCGTCACTTGGGTTTTTGTTCGGAATGCTATTATGAGGGGTATTAGTCATTCAAAAATCTTTCAAACTCACTGGTGTCCGCTCCCTCCACCAGCATTTGTAATTTTCTACTTTCATCAATTGTAATGTTCAGTTTTTATCAATCAATGTTCAATTTACTTTCAATGTATTCAAATTCTCAATTGTAAACTTTCTACAAAATTGCAATCAAATTTTCTTTCGTCCCGACGCGACCGAGAAAAGGCGGAAGGTAATCTAGCGGAGCAGACTACTGCCGCACGGTGTCCCTTTCTGTGCTAAGAAGAAAGGCACCCCGTGAAACATGGGTTTGCTTGGCTCAAATCTCAAACCGAGCCACGGGCAATTAAGCCGGCGAGCTAAATTGTTCTCTCTAGAAACACTAAAGATGGAGAAGATGCTAACCTTACTGTAGAAAATCAATCATTCTTGAGCCTTAGACAATTACTGGGCAAAAATTATTGAACAAGGAATCGGGGCGGACGTAGAAATTTTTTTGGTGGGGCAATATTAATGAAAGTGAAAAAAATAACAATAACATTATAACACAAACATTATACTAAAAATGAAATACCTTATACTTTGAAATACCTTGGGCAACTACTGGGCAAAGATTATTGAACAAGGAAGTGGGGCGGACTTAGAAATTTTTTTTTAATGCGGACGATATTAATAAAAGTGAAAAAGTAACATAATTATAACACAAACATTATATTAAAAATGAAATATTTTATAATTGTTTTTTACTAGTTTTCATACCTTGTTATCTTTGTACAATTACTTCATTATCAAAATCGATAGGAAGTTGTGCAATATCAAAATTGTCTCTATTTGACATATCCACACCGACGTTTTCCACATCCTCAAGAGATTTTCTTTTATAAAATCTTTTCATGTTTATTTTCATTATGAAATAAGCAAGAACATAACATATAAGAAAATAATCTAAAACTAATTTATATCATATCAGATTCATACCAAAGAAACAAAATAATCCAAAACAAATTCAAAAATTACATTGCCTACGAAAATAGTTCTTTAATATAATATGTAATAAATCGTAAAGAAGCAAATCATATATATGAAATTATAAAAAAATTACTTGTTTCTAAATTACTGGTAGATCTTTTCAATCAATTTGTAACAAAGAACTACTTGCAAGATGAATCACAATCCACTAGAAAGCCAACAAAAATGTGTCCGGAAAAAATAACGAGATTCGATTGAAATTTGATTTTGATTTACGCTGTCAATTTGTGTGGGGTTTTACTTTGAGGTATGGGTCTCCTCCCCTCTGTAGTTCTTTTCAATTTCTCAATTTTTTTTTATTATTTATTTTTATTTTTTGATTGGTGGGTTTCTCACCTATATTTCTAATGGGGCTGGCCTAATGTTCAGTGCAGGCAAATGGGCCTGAATTGGGTCTGCCCTTGACAAGGAATATTTGAAATAATTTCTTATTCTTGAGATGAGAGGGAAGGTCGATTTGATTTGATTGAAATTTTGGACCCGATCTTTTTTCCTTCCAAGATTATCTGGGATGGATGTCTTCTAAAGACTAACAGAAGTGCGAGATTAAGTTTGCGAGCGTAATAGTTTAAGGCTAGCTGGAATTTTGAAACTGTTTAGTCAAAACATAGATGAAATATTTCAAGTGTTAATGGATTTTGATGTCATTGAATGGTTAGAAATCACTGTTATGTTAAACAGTAACTATTAAGTAAAAAAGAAATGACAAGGCTTGATCTTGAAATGTGGTCAATAATTGAGTTAGGAAAGTTTTCATGAAATACTTAGTGTGTAAGAAAATAATAATTCGATTTAAACCCATAATGACAACTTGAAGTCCAAGTTCACCCACCGACTGCTTTCTTATCACTTTCATTTGGATTCAGAATATGGGTGGTTAAACGAGAATATATGCCAAATAATTAAATTAAAACCAATTAGATCATATGATAGCATAAATTATTACGATTTCGTTCTTTAGCTTAACTAAATTTCACATAAGTCATATTGTCAATTATAACTAAAAGATTTTTGTCACTGCATCAATTTGACGTAAAAAAAAAAAAAAAATGCATTTCCTTATGGAGCTCCATGAATTTGTCGCAACAAGAGGTATTGTCTCAAGCTTTACAGGTGGGGATCATTTTTCAAGTGTTACGATCCTCCGTTCAAAAGTGGTCCCTACTTAAGAATCCAAGGCTAGCCTTTGGATGTTGTCGTGACGTTGTGGTAACAAAGGTTATCGTGATCTAAGTTAATATATCTGCCTGAAGTTGTGTAAACTAGAAACGAATTAACAAATAAGAAGAAAGAACTACTCCATCCCATCCCAAAAATAATTGACGAGAGTTGTCTCCAGTCTCCAACATTGAAATAGAAAATTAAATAATAAAAGAGATGGGCATGAAAGTGAATTGAAGTATTTCACTTGTGCTTCTGCAAATTATAAGATATTTGAATAATGAAGGTGCCCCCATAAAACTAGTAGGAATTCAATTATGAGCATGAGGCATAATTGCCGTATTATTTGGAACTAGCTTGTGGAGCTGCAGGAAATTAATATCTGAGCGAATATTTACTAAGTCCTTGAGCCCCATCTTTAAAAATTCACTTTTCTCAACTTAATTTTCAACCACATTCTTCACATATAATAAACTTACACGTAAACTCAAAACTTATTCAATCAGAATTACAAAACTCATTTTTTTTCTTTCCTTTTTTTTTTTTTTTCCAAAAATGGTACTCAAACAAAGTTTAAATATACTACATAATAACTTAGGTGTTAAAATTAATTGACATATGAGCAACGTGGTCGATCGGGTTCATATACTTGTATATTAATTAATACATTTGATCTATATTTATGAATAAAGCACACCAAAATAAATGTTGAAAATATTGTTATTTCAAAATTGAAGATTTACATCTAAGATGGGCTGTCTAAAATTCCCTTTAGCACAAACGGTGGAGCTTTATCATTTCTATCTAATATTAAAAAAATGTTATTTCTTTTCGAATAATACTATTCATAATCATTGACTGTAAAAAATAATCATTTTATGTGATAACTTGCTATTTGAGGCATTAATGAGTAGCATTATTTTTCTTTATAGCTTGCATTTATCATGTTACAATAGAGCCCCCTCCACATATTAATCATTATTAGTGCAAAGTTGGGGAAGTTCATCACATGGCAAACATGTCATGCCTATTGACTTCTATATATATATATATGGGATCGATAGTATCAAATCAAAACATTATTTTAAAAATAGACTTGAGCAAAACCTAAAAAAATAAAAAGGGTCGAGGATTGAATCATTTTCAGACACGTGAAAAAAAAAGACAAATAAATTAATAAATTAAGTTATTTGTACTTGTTGGCTTACACTTTGGTTTACCCGACCCTACTCCTCCTTTCACATGGGGTCGGGTCCCACGTGGGGGCCCGACCCCCGTGTGAGAGGAGGAGGTGGGGTCAAGTAACCCAAAGTGTAAAATGACATGTACAAATAGCATGACCCTAAATTAATACAAAGTAAGGGGCCAAGCCAACCGATTTTTGGGTGAAACGGTTGATTCCGAAGGTCAATTGAGGGGTTGGGTTGTTATTTTATTTGTTTATAAATTTTCCATTTTACCATATAACCAGATGATTTCCTAGTTTTTACAATTCATGAATGGCATGTTCGGTCTAATTTTGACAATGTCAAAACATGCTTATATCGTGAGTGCATGGTTGGTACACAACACTCAAGACTTGACGATTAAAAAAAAAAAATTAATCTTCTTCTTCTTTTAATATATTGTTGAGCTGAAAAATGAAGGTCAAAATACTTTTCAAAACATAATTGTTTATCGTTAAAAGTGAAATTTCTTGTCCTATAAAATCGATTGACCAATTGGTCACCATAGTTTAATTAGTAGCCACTTTAATAATTTCTCAAACTATTAGAGACAACTTGGACTTCGAGTGCCCAAACTTTTTCCATACTAGGAAAGACATGTATTTTACACATAATAAGTGCCCAATAATTGAAGAATAATGCTACTTTTTCAGAAGTATATGACATAATGATTGATATAATAGGTGTTCGAAATATGTGATTGGATGAAAAAGTTTGATTGTATTTTAAACAGTCTAATGATAAGTTGTCATGTGACATTATGTCGAGAATTATGTCAACTATTATATCTATATAGCATGAATGATAATTGAAAGTAAAGATACAAAGCCAAGAAAATATGATTTATTGTGACCTCAAAAGTGGACAACCCCACATGCATTCTTGTAGATTAAGTCAATTCCAATCTCCATGCATAGAAATAAACCAACTCATCATGTCATACACACTTCTATAATCTATTTTCATTCTAACGTCCCAATTAATTTTCCCAAGTACTTAGAAATTTTCATACGCCTAGAAACGTATACAAAATTGCCCATAAAGACTTCACACTCACCCTTCTTCTTGACTTCTTCATACCTAACATTTCACCCCACAAAAAAAATCAAATTCCATCACCTCCAAATTTCCATGGCTAGGCTCAAAATGATGCAGTTCACCGTTTTTTTGGTTATCATCTCGATGGCGGTTCGAATTGAAGGATTGAATCCAAGAAAGCTTGATGATGAAACTCCACCGGATTTGCAGAACAAGTGTGGAAACTGTCCTTGCAACAACCCATGTAACCAAGCCCCGCCCCCGCCTCCACCACCTTCACCATCGCCTCCGCCTCCGCCGAAGATTAAGCCACCAAGCAACTACTGCCCACCTCCACCTAGCGGCGGCGGCCAGTACCCTCCAAATCCTCCTTACATATACATAAATGGTCCGCCCGGAAATTTGTATCCCGTCGATCCTTATTATTCAGGCGCTAGCCGGAGGTTCTCTATAGGATTGCCATTTTTTATCAGCACGGTATTGGGACTCATAGCTTTCATTTGAATATGAAAAAATAGGCACAAAATTTTATGCAATCCTTGAGGAGATGCATAATCCAGAGAGAAGAATTTCTTGGGATCAGAAATTTTATTTCTAATCTTTAGGTTGGTGTCATTAATCAGTTATAATTTGTATCTTAAATCTTCAAGTGATCGACAAATTTCATCAATAAACTTTCTGTTTCATTTTCTTCTTGATTGTTATGTATTTACCTAATCCAAGTGACTTGTGATTTTCTTATTTCTTGATTGCTTTTCTTACGTTATTTGGTCAAACTTTAATTCTCAAATTCAGGGTCTGATTATTTATAAAATAACTCTTACTAAATGAAAGCTATGTATCATCTACTTGCTCGTGATTCTATCCAGGGGCGGATCCAGTCTTGAAGTTAAACACGAGCTACAATATAAATATACATGGATTTATCTTAAAAAAATAAAAAAATAAATAAAAAACTAAGAAAAATTAGACATTTTCAAGATCCAGGTACAAGCTATAGCACGATCGAGCCCATGCATGGATCTGTCAGTGATTCTATCAGAGGTGCCAAAAAGATAGGGTCGGTCTTTTCAATTTCTTTTTCTGAAAATAAATTATAAAATTGTTAGGTCGATGGCTTGTACCCATTGAAGTCTTAATTTACAAGTTAGTTCTTGCTCTTTAGGGTCCACCATTAGTTGGATTAGGGTGTCGGTTCTAAGAAGCATCCTAATGTGTAGATGCGGCTGCCTAAAGTTCGATTCATTAATATTCTCTTCTTTTATACTCTATTAACAATAATTTATTAAAAATAAAATATTTTATATAGTTTATAGGATGGGAAAATGTATTGTAAATATTTTAGAGTAACAATAATTTATTAAAAATAAAATATTTTATATAGTTTATAGGATGGGAAAATGTATTGTAAATATTTTAGAGTATATTTGAATACTACTCAAATTAAGCCCTTGTCTAAGCCAGATTTTGATACAAGATTTTAATCAAATTTCTTGCTGTTACACGGTGGTGTGTTAGTGAAGGAGCAACAATTATTGACTGAATTACGTAAAATGACCAATGTACCCTTTAACATTTAATTCCTTATTCTGCACGTAAGGACATTTTTGTCTTTGGATCATTGTTGAGATCATTATTACTGCACGCCTGGGACCCACCTTTGTGCCCGATGTTCAAAAAATGGATTAAAATCTACACAAAAGTGCTTTCAAATAGACACTAAAATTTGTAGTTTATGATCATTTGTCAATTTGGAGGGCTAGTTTAAGACAAATGCTATTTGGCCAGGGTCTGTACAAATGAACCTGGCCAAATAGCATTTCTCCTAATTTAAATGTGGCTTTGTGATGGAAAAATCAATATAAATAGCAACTCTTCTTGAAGAAGATCAAATTATAACTTTAATAAAGTGGCTAGTTTTAGGCAAAAATACATATAATTGATGGTAAATATTACCAATCAATTCTATTTTTGGGACACTATAAAATGGATTTTTTAATATTTGACAATTCTGTTACTTTACAAGGAAGTAAAATTAATGCGCCACATTGACTTAAGGGCCCAAACTCAATTATATTGTGCAAAATTGTAGTTGGTTACCTATTCTGTTAGGAACCGCAAATTTTTTGGTACATCACATGAATGCATTTTCGATTCATGTCAAGATATTATCACAACCCTTTCAACTTTTCAACAGAAATTTCACTAATTCCCCTCAAGTTTTGAAAAATACTCTAGCCAGCAAACAATCTTTGAATGTGACTAATTTTTTTTTATCAAGACCCGTATTAAATAATAACCCGATTGACCATTGTAAATTTGTATGCAAGTGTTCTTGGTTAAACCACAAGAATTCACACAGGATACAGTTAATTCAGTTTTTGCTCGATTTTCAATTTTCCTGATAGAGTCCATCACTACTCTAATATTATTACTATTGTGGTCAGGTGGCATTGACGGTAGGATAAAAGTTAAAATCTTCCATATAAAATAGAAGCCAAATACTATTGACATAGTTCTAGCTATTGTCTTCTTTCAATCACATTCTTCAATAAAATAATATTATATGTAAATTCAAAATTTAATTTATTTGTAACTACACATTTTTTCATCAGCCCCCATTAATATTCATTCCATTACATTTTATTTTTCTCTATCCTATTTTCAATCACACAATCTTCCATAAAATAATATTACACGTAAATCGAAAACTTTTCCATTTTTTTCAATTACTCATTTTTCAAAAAAAACATTCCACTTATTTTCATTTCCACAAAATAGGGGCCAAACGGGGGCTCAAAGTACTATTTGAAAATACATTAATCTCTAAAGACGGGACTCAAACATTAGGCTCCTGTTTGGGCTTCATTATTCCACATTTTAATGAGGAGAATAGTAGTTTTTTTTAGAACGTGTAGTTGAAAAAAGAAAGTAAAGTTTTTAGATTTACGTATAATATTATTTTATTGAAAATTTTGTGATTGATAACCATAGAGAAAAAAATTAGATTTTAATTAATGGAGGTCAAGAAGAGCTGAAATAGTTTTATCCTCGAATTCAGGTCTAATTTGATGTTGATGTCACAAATTTGTCAGTAATTCAAAAGAGATGAGATCAACTTCGGTTACACCAAATTATGGGTCCCATTATTGCAATAAAGGACAAGGCACGGTCCATAGCCTTTTGAACCACCATTTTAGATTTTTAGCCGAAGGCTCAATTAAATGGACCATAAATAATTTCCAATTGGTCATTTATTCCTAATCCCAGTCTAATTTAGTCTAGTCTACTGTGCTGCACTGACTTGTTTCTTAGTGAATGGAGTTTGGTACGTTAGTTGTTTACTACCTTTAATTTTTCTATTGGTGAACTATTGTGGACTTTACCTATCTAAAAGGAATAATGGGCTTACAATTATTAATTACTACTTGATATAGTGTTAAATTAATTTGATAGTTGTAACACTTCAAGGCAATATGATAGAGTAATTATAAAGAATTAATTGTTTGATTAGACATTTGAAAGACCAAAACTTGTTGACGGAACGAATCTTGGTGAGGTGAACATGTGTCACTAAAAATCAGAAAAGAGATATTTCATAGAAAATTATATCATATACTACTCGTATGAGTTTATTCACGATTAGTTAGTGAGTCAATCTCTTCAATGCTAACACGTAATTATAAGAATCATAAGGAGATTTTGGATATGAAACCAAATTTCATCTTAAGCAAGCATTAGCTGCTCAAAAAATTCATTACGTGAAATTATATATATATAGACCCTGGAATTAAACATTATGATGATTTGTCAAATCTATTATTATGTTGAACAGTCTCCTATCGGTTTGGAGATGAATCTAGAGTTGAGCATGGTTCGATTCGATTTGATTCTCAAATTTTTCGGATATTTAGTAAGTGAACCGTTTGGTTCGATTCGGTTCTCAAGTTCCATACTATAATTAAATTTTTTAATAGTTACAAAGCTGTATTAATTCAACTAATGACATGTTCAATCTTAACTCTTACAAAATAACGTATTTCAATTTTATGTGTTTTTTGCGTCTCTCATTATTGATTTTTCATAGATTTAATTGTTAAAAGTCAACGAAATAGAAAGATAACGAACTCACAATAATTAAGAGAAGAGTTGTAGAGCTTCAATCAAATCTCTCCAGAACAGTAAAACGGTACTACGGTAGAATAATGGATTTGGGTAAAACTTAGATCAATTTGATTAAGTTGAGTTTGGACTAAAAATAAGAAAAATCATATTTTTGAATTTGAGCTATATTAACTAGGTAGCAAATTTATTTAGAAAAAAAATGAAATAATTTGACTTATTTAAAATAAATAAATTAAAGATATAGGAAGATTCGATTATTATTCAATTTTTTTTTTTATCTAAAATCCATAATCGAACCAAACTCATCGGTTCTCGATTCAGATACCCGTTTAAATATTTAATTTAAGAAGAACCGTTCGGTTTGGTTTGGGTCCTGTTCAGGCGGTTTAGTTTGGGAGTTTTGGCCAATCCTAGATGAATCGTTCTACCTGTTAAAAAATCTACGTAGTTTGCTTAAAAGAACTTCGACGGTCTTTGCGCTCATTTGGCTCTACAAGTCTCAATTATCGAGGGGTAAATCTTCATTTCCTAAGTATGTGGGCATGCGAGGTACCCCATTTTAGGACGATATGACATCAGGTGGTTCATAATTATTTCAATACGTAAAATGATTGACAATTAGAGAAGATAATATAACTTGGAGCGAAGTTTGCATTTTTGATAGAGTGAGAATACCTAAGTGTTAATTACCCTTGAATGGCACCAAATGGGTAAGTATTTATAGGCGAAAAAAAGGAACGAGAACTCATTGGATACTTGACATGTAGCCTCATTACAAGAACTCATTAATCAAGTTCTACCATGTCAATATATCACGTGTCCTAGCCATCAATAGATCAACGACCCGTACCTTGTCATAGACGGTTAAAAGAGTGTCTGCAGTCAATAGCTATTGTAGATAACGTCACATCAATCAATTCTCACTTGACTCCATAAATCAAAACCACCGGTTACATAAGGGCTTAGGGCTAACTTTGACTGCTTCGATTATAGAGACTCGTGTTATGCTGTTAAGATTACGAATCCAAAGATCACCTCTAAGAAGGAAAGTAACGATCCACATTGCCTCGAAGAGCACTTAGATGGCATCCTTGCTTAACTAACAGTTATGTAGCTTGCTGTGTAGGCAGAAGCACTATAAATGTAATTTTCTTTGACATTGGTGGTATTGTAACACATTGTATACTGTGATTATTTAATATAAGTGCTTCCTTAGTCCACATGTCACTATCATAATAATATGAGCAAATTTTAAAATTATCATGAAATGAAAAGCTAAAATAGAATATGCATTCTTGTTCTTGCTTGGCATAAATGTAAAAAAGTAAAAAGCGACAATTTTCAAAAAATTTGGTAAATTCATCATGGTGAGCATTGAATTGAAGGAAAATGCTCCTTTGCCAGAAAAAAGCTTGACAGATGCATTGACACTCTCTGATAAGCGCCGGGCCTCACATAAATAAACAATTGGAAGAAATAAGTGGTTCCACCCCCAATGTGAGAGTAGGTTAGGGCTTCTGGCACCATTTTTTGGATAGTGCGGCTCGATCCTTGAATTGAATCACGCATA